TAAAATACTTGGCTTCCCACCACAACAGTATATCGTATTAGAAGTCGTCCAACAATCTAAGAAATCTTAAACTTGAGACTACTTTAAAAGAGAAATGGAATAAAATTCCTCAAAATTTTTTAATGAATTTGATTGAAAGCATGCCTAGTAGAATTCAGGCTGGAGATTACAAAATAGACATTAGTAATAATAATAATAATAATAATAGCAATAAATTACCATATGAAAATTCTGGGTAAAGTTTTTAAAAGTCATATGACGTTACGGCAAAGAATTCTTAAATGCTGATCATTTAAAAAAGAAGTTAGCATTTGCACAACTGGCAGGAGGAGTTTTCAAGAAAATGTTTTAATTAAAGCAAGATCACTTTCCAAGAACCTGCTTTAGGTGAAGATTATATGTGTGGTCATTGCTTAACTGCTTTCAAGGGAACTTAACTGATAAACAAAGATTGGAAAGTTTTTCCTTCTTCTGTAAAAGGAGTAGAGAATTATTGATAACTTCGGCTTTGACCCAACTTTTTATTTGAAAAAGAATTTTGCACAACTTATATGAAAGAAAACAATAAAATTAATCCTTTGCTTAATGTTGTATCGGGACTAGTGGGTTCTATTAATAGGAATTACCAACAACTCCAAACTCCAATCGAGTGGAAGGTGAAAGAAAAGAAGGAAAAGTTGGAGAAGGAAGAATTAGAAGAGAAAAAGAAGTTGGAGGTATATAGCACAAGATAAAAAAGCAGAGATGAATTTGGAGAGGAAATTAGTTATTCTCAGTAATACATTTGATAAGGGTAAAAGAAGAATGGTACAATTTCCAAAATAGGGGACTGGAGGAACTAGTCATTAATTATGATAATAATTTCTCTGCATAAGATTTATCTTTTCTGTCAACAATGATAGATGAGATATCATTATCATCCAAACTCTTATTATCACGATTGTTATTTTTCAAATATTAAAATGATATTTCCTTATTTTTATTAAATAATGATATTTTTATATCCTCATTTTTATTAAATAATGATATTTTTATATCCTCATTTTATTTTATAATGATGTAATAGTAAATAGTAAATAGTAAATAGTAAATAAATAAAAAATAAATATACTGTTAATGACGGAGTCACCGCAGCAATAGTCCTTTCTAAAAAACTAATGTGTTTGAATAGTAATTCAACAATTTCATCTAATATACCTTGATCTTTCCATTCTATCCATCCTTTCGGCCATTTCGGCAATTGTTTTTTTCATTTCAGCCATTGATTTGTTCATTTCTTCTTTTTGAGTTTCTTCTATTTCCTCGCTTATTTCCCTTTGACTTTCATCCTCCTTTATATTTTCATCGATTATTCTGCGCAGATGACATTGAGTGAATGTTGTTGAAGTAGCCAGAAAGTCATCAGGTGCTGGTTTCTTCTCTGTAAAGAAGGACACATTTCTTGTTAAAGAGAGAACCAGTATAAACACGCATGCTTTGACAAAGTAAAAATTGATTGGCCATTTTAACACAATAAGTAATGTTTGCAGAATATTCGGGAGATAAAACCATACAGAAAATAATATAGTAGCAACAAACTTCGAATTAGTTATTTGTTCCGATCTCTTTGAGCCACATATCATAAGACAAAATAGTATTAAAAAAACGAGTGCTGTAACTGACAATATCCCAAATAATGTAAGGAATACTACACTAATTGGTTCAAAGAAATGTCTAGTTGTAATAATAACAATCCAGAATATTGGAATGATTATAGCTGGGAATAATATCAAGAATACTAAGATAATCATAAAGAAACAGGGTTGATCATCAATAATTTTTTCAACTTTTTCATTCTTAATTATTGCACCTGTTGCAGCAATTAGATGCAAAGCCATGTTTACAAATGAAAATATCTTATACTCAGCAAATCATCATAGGCCAAAGAAACTACCAGCGGAATCACCCAAGTGACTGTGTTGTATAATAAGTCATCCAGTAATGGCAACAGCACATTTTTTATGGGTCCAGATTCCCCTGAAACATTGAATAGAAGAACAAAAAATACTGGAAAGAATGTGTTAATAATTGCATCATACACGTCCTGTCCAGATTCATAATTTTCGTCGATGATAGATGCTGTCACAAGCGGAAGGAGTAGAAATAAAGTCAAGATCACTTTCTTGCTTTGGTTGAATAGAAATCCTTTGTTCATATCGAATAATAGGATAAAGTTTCCTCGTATATAGACTTATTTTATTGATATCTATAGATAATGTATTCTCAATCAATAAGCATTAATTAGTATATATTAATATTAATCAGAGAATTATTTTCTTTTTTGGACTTATTTATGTAACAACTATGCAAACTTTATTTTGATTCATTTGGATAAATAAAAGGTTATATAATCATTACGCACTTGTAAAATAATACTAAGGAAACAAAAAATATACAGAGAAAATAAAATTTTCCTGGAAATTGCAAAATTGATCAATATGAGAATGGTGCTTTTTGGTTATTTTTTAGATGGAATAGTAACAAAAGAAATGTCTAAATGAGGCAAGAAAAAAGAAACGGGCAGGTTTCCCAATAAAATAGTAAGTAAATTGTTCTTTAAAAATGCGCAAAGTCCAATCTAATTTTGAATTAATTACATTATTGATTATTTTACCTTTTATGAATAAATAAAATTATAAAAATTATTATTATTTATATAACAAAGGAAAAAAGCATTTACTTTATCTACAATTAGCAACATGGTTAACGAATCCTTTAACTAATGTGATCATAGCCACTGCTTATATTAAAAGTTGCAAATACCAACAATGAAGATACTTTCACTCATCACTCTCTACACGACCTACTTGAGAGATTTTTGGTCATTCATTGTTTGAGTATGTCTGGTAAGAATTTTTTGTGCGATGCTTGACTTAATAGGGCAAATAGTGAAAGTTTATTTTCAAAAAAAAAAAAGACACTGTGATAACCAACAAAACTGCTAGATTTAAAAAGAACTCGAAATATGAGATCCCAAATTTGAAAACTCAAGCTGGCGCATTAAATGGATTGGTTAGTAAATATGATTGAGTTTGTGGTGTCTAAAATCGATATGCGGAACGTTCGCTCCGAGCATAATAAGCACAGTGTATATTAATATAGAATGTATACCGTCCGACCTCAATTTTTTATTTGTTTGTTATAATAAATAATTTTCTCGCATTTTTTTTTTCGCGAGTGGACTTTTTCAAATTTCTTAACATTAATATAAGGTATCTCTTTATTCAACCCATTCACATTAGGGCATTTGAAAAAGTATTCGATAATAGATAAATTGGATATTCGAAAAGTAAACTCCGAAAATAAAGAAAAAAAGTAATAAGGAAGGATCCAAACAAAATCTCGAATTCGTAATCAAATGAATTTAGAAACTTTAAATGAACATTTAATGGTAAAGTTAAATGGTCCTTCAGTTGATTTGTTTTTGATTTTAAGTTAGCTTTTGAACATTGGTATTCTAAAGAAACATTTTTAATAAACTTTTAACAAATAAATTTATAAACAAATTATCAATTATTGTTATTATATGTAAAATTACTGACCACTGCACATTGGTTTGCTAATAATGTGGTAGCAATATGCTAATACTCACATAATTTTGAGTTTGAATTTTAGACACTGTGGTGGGTGCTTAGATTGTGTTTTTTATGCTGCTTACTAACTAAAAATAAATCGCGTTCTTAGGTGCACACATTTGTGTTTACAAGGTAACCTTGATCTCGAATTTGATGATTCCACCCAGTTTCCAAGGTTGGCATCGGTCTTTGAGGCTTTTTGTGATGTCAAAGTAAGCGATGAATGGTGGATTTTCAAGAATACCTGTTTACGACTAAGCATCTTTGTGATTATAAGGATTGCGATTCTAGAGTTTTGAAGGTGATAACAGGAGTTTGAAATATATATTTCGTATGACTTTGATTTTGAGTCACTCAAAAACTATCGTCAAGTTTGGGTGACAATTAAAAAAATAGTTTTATGGGTCAAGAATGAATCGGACATGCTGGCTTTTAAACTCGAATAGTAGTTAGCCAATCAGAAATCTGCAACGCCTCCGCTCGCTTTATGCCAGGGCACCAATTTAGGTTGCAATTTTTCATAATAAATACACGAATTGATTCTTTACATTCTGTGGATTTCTTGTTAGTTAGTATATTTCTTTTTTTAATTCTTCGATCACAGTGTAACTTTAAGTCAAATCACCTTACTAAATAATAAAGAATCATTTTATTTAGAACAGACTGTCATAATCATTATTATTCAAATAATTCATGTATGAAAAAATCGTTGATTGGTAAAATGATTTAAATAATAATTTTTATTTCGAGCATATCGTCACTAAAATTTTGGCCCTCGCAGTGATATTGCAACTAGTTTCAGTTTTTTCATACTGGGGAAAAAATTTTACCCTGATACGATCGCTCGGGGTCTTGTTCTCATAACGCGTTAAATTAAATTAAATAGTTTCATTATATAATTTTTAGATGGTAGTTGATTTGATAACCAAACTCCGTCATCGACATGATCTAACAAATGTGTTGGAATTAATAAACGCCTCGGTGTGTCCATCACAACATGAAATCTTTCATAGAGCCAAAGAAAACCTAAATATATGTTACTTCAAAACATTTGAAAGAAGAGCATCTTATTTATGCTTATGGTTATGTTAGCAAACCGCTGGAGAATAAACCATCACTCACAAAAAAAGATTTAATTACAAGATTTTATAAACTCTGTCAAAGAAGGATCTGAATTACAAAAAGTGTTATCCTACCTACATGTAATGATGAAAGATTAAAGTTGACCTGTAACAAATGAGATTAATGAAAATGTTGTCCACGTGAGAGAACTTGCTTTGAGAAATCAAATACCAAGTCATGTGTTATGTGTAGCCTTGAATACAATAACACCATAATATAGTCTCCGTTCTAATACCGACTGACTGTGAAAATGATAATTAAAAACACATTGGTTTTTTTTGTCTGCCGCTGGATTAAATGCTATGATGCTGGAAAGGTTTTAAGATTTTGGTATTAAATCTATTTTAGAAAAAAGTTGGGTCGTACTATGAAATTTCAACATTTCTTTTTGAAGCTTCTAATCCTGCCCAGAAGTTGCCAATGATTCCTTTCATGAATTTGAGTTATTGAAAACTAGAAAACCGGAATTTTCTTATTTCATAAAAGATACAAAGCTTTGTCATTTCCCACATCAATAATAATATTCGCACATTTGTCATAAATTGTCCAAACCAGCACAGAATAATTTACATGTTCAGTTATCAAGGAGCAATTTTCTCGCCTTGTTATTTTAAAAAAAAAAAAAATCTCGCGGTAGCCTGTAATCCTTGGGGTTCTATCGTGGATCTTATTGTCATGCAAGTTAGTAGAATGATCCTATATATAAGAATGTATAAAAAATATTCTCACAAGTGTGTCTCTTCAAACCAAATTTGTTAATTGAGTGTATAAAAAGATAGCATCATGACCAACCAAGAATTAATTAATAAATGACAAAAAGTATTTTGATTGTCTCAATGATAATAAAAATAATATGTTCCCAAGTTGATTTCCAGAAGATATTTGCTTGCGATGATGATAGCATTCGTCGAAACAATAATCCTTTTGCCCTGTAAAAAATTTACTCCGTGATTAGTCTCTGTGTTTTTTCCGTTATTAAACTCTGTTTTTTCCCCGTTTATATATTAATAAATTAAAATATACATTTCCGTGTTTTTTTTACATAAATTAAAATGTATCATATTCACGGAATCTATAGTTCCATTTTTCATAAAAAATGGAGATTTCACTGATATTAATATTAATTAATATTAATAAAATGGATAGAGTTCGGATAAATTGTTGAATAATTAATTAATAAAATGGATAATGATAAAGTTTGAGTAAATTTAATAAATAAATTTTCAAGTGGTCTACTAAAGATGGCTCCTCAATTAATCGAGACTAGTGGCATATGAAAATTTAATTGCAACTAATTGCGTTTCCCATCTTTAAATGTTACTAACGTAAATTTTTGGAAATCACCCTTGTGATTTGACAGCTTTGAGTCCATGTTCTGTTTGAATTGTAATTATTTGAAAGTAATGTATTAAGACTAGACTAGAAATTTTTTTTAAAATTGAAAGCACAATCTTACTGCAGGTTAGCTTGCATGTTCCCTTTTCAAAAATAATTATTTTAATCATAAACAAAATATGGTTACGTAACAATTCTTCCTGATCGTACACCAGATCTAAAAAAGTGATTAATAATTAGTGGTATAATGTTAATAAAATATGGTCACATAACAATTCTTTCTGATTTTGTTTAACCATTAACCTTTGGAAAAAGAAATCATGTAAATACCTTTTTAATTTAATTATTACATTCCTAAATATATATAAAAAATATTAATATAAAAATAGATACAAAAGTAAATATTTTTAAAAAAAAACCATGTTACCATTACTTGGGTTCATAAAACTAATTAACTAACACTAGATGAATGCTTTATCTAGTTGTATTATAGGCGAGTTTGATTATTTGAAAATGCCATATGAGTATTTAAAAACGCAATCGTTTTGTTCTATATTTTTGTATCTTGTTAAATAAATGCTTGATCGAATTGAATGATCTTAGATTCAAAAAAAAAAAAATCCTGAATTCTATTGTACATAATATTTAAAACTTATTCATAGTTAATATTTAGTAATGTTGTTTAATATTGATTTTAAATCACAATTCGTTGACGCATTTTAATAATATCATTAAATATCTCTTTACATTTCTCTTCCTTTTTTGACGATTTGTATATTATTGTTGCTTGATCATATTACCTAATTATTTTAATCGTTATTATTTATGCAGAAATAAAATTTAAAAGAAAAACTAACTGATAAAGTAGCAGAAATAAGAGAATGTCTTTTCGTACCAGCTGTCATGAACCAGATATGATTGGGATTTTAGGCAGTTTGGAAAGGTGATTAATCATAGGATACTTGATGAAAAAGCTTCTAGTTATGAAATCTCATCAATGAATATGCACAAATTATGGAAACAAACACTGGTGACAATAATTATCTTTTTGAGCAATTCACAATTCAATTATTTTAACAAGAAGAGAAACTTTTGGGAATATTTGAAAGTTACAAAAAATGATAAAGCGAATGAAAAAAAGCCAGTAACCCTAAAAAGAACCGGTCATTTAAAAAAAAAAATTTATTACTTGTTATACCAGTGTTTCTATGAGCGCGACAGTGGATTCGTCAGAATATTTTTTTGAATCTATTTTTTGATCGCAAATGAATTCAAAGAGTCACATCACGAATTGAATGATAATAATAATTAATATTAACCATTCAAAAAAAAAAAATCATACAATCAGGATATCTTTTTCAAATAAACATTTCCAAATTTAGAAATAATCGTAGATCCAGGGGAAGCAAACCATACGAATTCACGCCCCATTATAGTGTGATATAAAGAGAAATAATTTGTTTTATATGAAAATATTGATTAAAATGAATAAATAAATAAATAAATAAATAATCAATTAACCCATTAATATATTGGAAGAGACGAGTTTTGTGGATGGACAGGAAATTCCAATTAGAATTTCAATATATTAATTAAATTATTAAATATTCTATGCTCCTAATTTGGATAAATTGATGTATGGTTTTGGAGGGTAATAAATGTGAGAACGATCACGAGAAGAAGAACAAAGTATAGTAATAGATTCATTGCATGCATCTATAGATGTTATTATATATATAATTTTTATTAAATAAATAATTTATTTATCATTTATTAGAGTTGTCGGTAATCAAGCTCCCAAATTATACACACGCCCAGTCCATTCAGCAATAAATAACGTATGAATTTTTTTTATTCCTTCACGTCTTTGTTTTCTCTTACTCTCTCACGTACAAACATTATTTACGTTTTTTTTTCAGATGACCGACTAGCTATAACAATTAGTAATAATAATTAGAAAACTTAAAATTCACATTAACAATAATAGTTGATATTATTATGATTGTTTATTTATTTGTTTCCCACCCATAAAAGCGGACAGTTTGTTTTATTTTTAATATAAAATTCCAAAAATATAGTTTATTTTAAAATTTATATTTACCCCATATTTTTACATTTCCTAATTTGGATATAGTTATATGATTTAATTAATTAATTTTATCATTATGATTCATTGATTCATAATCTAAGGTTGTCTTGATCATCTTATCAATTAGATAAACATAAAAAATCGGTATTAAAAATCCAAATTAAGAAATGTGGATGAACAATAAAAATTATTAATCAATTAATTGCTTCGTATTATTTCAAGAGAATTATTTGTTTTTTTAGTTCCAGAGTTGGAACTGAGTTATGACTTGTCGTATAGAGTAACAATAATAATATTATTTATATTATCATACTCGTATATTAATAATAATAATAATATTATTATTATTATTTATATTATCATACTCGTATATTAATTATTATTATTTATATTTATCATACTTGTATGTTAATAATAATAATATTATTATTTATATTATCATACTTTGTTAATAATAATAATATTATTATTTATATTATCATACTTTGTATGTTAATAATAATAATAATAATAATAAATAATAGCAAATTATTTTACCCGCAGTGTATATATAAATAATATTAATTTTAAATTTTTTTGCCAACATCCGAAAAAATGACGTACGTACAAATGATCATATTATTAATTTTTATATTAAAAATTCCATTTTTGAATTAATCAAATTACTTTATTCAATGATGTTACACAAAGATTTTTTTTATCAGATATTTGGCTGA